CTGAAAACCATGTTAAACTATTAGATGCAATACTTGCATGTAGACTTAATCCATCATCCCAAGGAGCTCATTACTTTCCCAGAAAGTGAAGATAATGGTTTCTCCTTTGTACTCTGGGCCCTTTGTGCAGAACAGGCTTTGCTTTTCTGTGTAGCTGGACTTATTCAGGCACACTCTGTGGAACAGTGTATACTGAGGTCCTTCTTGCAGATGATTGACCCCAATTTTTTTTTTCGTTTTTGTGAGCGCATGTGTGTTTGTGTGCGAGCCGGTGTCTGTGTGTGTAAAGTGGGTTAGAGTAAAAGGCACTTGTTGACATGGTATTACTTTTACACCTCTCCAGAGTTCGGCTAAAGGCTTGCCTTGTTGGAAACCCAAAAGGAGGGGAGCATGAAAAAGAGCAGAGAAAAGAGAGAGCAGTCGGAGGGGTGGGGGGCGGGGTAGTGTGGAACTGTCCAATATATCCTGTAAAGTTGGCCTGGGCAGTGAGGCTTGGAGTATTGGTCTCCATAAAAGACGGTGGTTTCTCTTTCCCTCAAGTCTCTCACTCTCTCACTCTGCGCTTCTCCCGCTCCCTTCTTTCTCCTCTTTACTTCGCCATCCCTCCATCCCTCCATCTCTCCCTCCCCCCACCAGCAGGAGTAAGCATATGACAGTGAGACAGTGCCCTGCCAGCCCCTCTGGCAGAGTCATCATTCTTAACAGCACTAAATCACTACCTCTACTAGCTTGGCAAACATGTCACACTTGCGGAGAGAAAAAAGGGAGAAAGTGAAGAAAGAGGGATAAAATGGTATGAGGAGTGAGGCTGATGAAGGCAAGGAGCAAACAGAGGCTCCTGGTTGGTTGTGAATGCACAAAAATGAAACAAAAGCAGAGCATGTATGGAACTGGGGTATCACTTGAAGTCTGCCAACCCATAGTTCATTAAAGGCTGTTGAGGACGAGCCTGGACTGAAGGCAGCGGACCGAGGTCTAGAAAAGGATGATTTGAAAAGGTTTCATTTAGGCTGCACCCCAGGGTTCCTCCACCCATCTGTTGGCTTCCGCATGGATCAGAATGGTGCTACACTAATTTATTTGGGAGCTCTGTCATTTAGACTACATCCACAAAGCTCAATTTCCGTTTTAAAACCATCAATTCTGCTACAGATATGCCCAGTGTCCACACTATTCCAGTGTTTTAGAACCATTAAAACAGAGACGTTAGGAAATGCTGCTGGCCTCGTTTTCAGACCCTTCAACCTGTGTCAAAACCTTTACATGAACTAAGTGTGAAAGTTTATTCTAGACCTGCCTTCACTGATGCAGTTGGTCCATTTTAAGGTAAAGAGTTTGATGTGCCGTGCCGTTTATAGCATGCCAAAACACAGTCAAATACCATAATTACCCAAATAACGCCACACCTCACATCCCGCAGCTGCATGTGCACAAGGCAGCAAACACACTGAGGCCTTTTCTCCGAGCTTCACCGCAGCACTTGGCCTGTTGTGCCACACTTGTCTCTCCATCTCAGGGCAAGCAGGCAGCGCTAGGCTAACATTAGCAATTTTCTTCCTTCATAAGCAGTTTACAGTGTGAATGGGCGCATTTATGTGGAACATCACCCCCACCTCCCCTCCCCGACACAGAAACCACCAAGCCTAGCTCAGGTCAGCCGGCCCACTCACACCCAAGGCAAGGGTCAGGTCAAAGAGGGGATTGGGGGGGGGGGATGAGGGAAGAAAGGTTATAGCTGATGGTGGAAGAGGGTGTTGTGTGAGAAAATCAGTGCTAATTATAATGGAAAGATAATAGATATATAATATAGATATTATATAATAATATATGCATGAGACAGAAACAGTATACGGACAAATACATATATACATGTTTACTAATACATGACAAAACTATAAATAAATAAGTAGTTGCAGAAATAGATAATTAAATACATATACATCATGAAAAAGTTCCCATGTGCTGACCAACTCAAGACAGAAGTAGTAGATCCGATGATCACACTGCTACAACCAATCCAACCTTAGACTGAGTTAAGTCCACCTACCTAATAAACATACTGACACAGACATAAATAAATTAATATATTGATAAATGTGGGAATATAAAAATAAACAAATACATGTAGATATACAGAAATAACCTTTTTCATCCCAAACTGTATTTTTATTCATTTATTCATTTATTTATTTATTTATTTTGTATGAGGTACTGTCATGCTTGAATGAATACTTCAGGGACAGGGGCGTGGAAAGACAATAGTGGGAGAAGGACGGAGGGATGAAAAATAAAGGGGTTATATAGAGGAAAAGGGGTAATTTAAGGAAAGATGGGGGAAGTGTTCTTGTCTTGGATACTGTAAAGGGGCTGCACACCTCTCAGTTGTGTCTTCCACCTATCAGTGCAGAGTCTGGCTGACGCAGCACAGCAGACAAGGGTGAAAAATCCTATTACTATGTGGCTGTTACTCTCTCATTGCCTCTTTTAAACCCTTTCTTATAAAAAGGAGGGAAAGGTCTTGTTAATCAGCTTTTGGCTTTAGTTTGGGGGCTCATATATAAACCCTCCCTCTTCCTCCATGCACCCCTGCCCCCTGTGTATGTAATAGATGAGGATAGCAGAGTGTATGTTTACGAGCGCGAGTGCTGGACTTGGCAGGGCCGAGTACTCCCTCAATGTCTCACAGTTCTCACAGGTCATCACAGCTCAATGACTGACTGACTGGGCCCCTGTCTTTCTTGCACAGTTTACATTATGTACACACACACACACACACACACACACACACACACACACACACACACACTTACTCATACACTCTTACTGCTTCTCCTCTCTAAACCTCTTATTGTTTCTTGCCCCTAAGCTGCCGCCCCCCCAGGTAATTGTTTTAAGATTGTAGATAAATATCTGTAGCCATTAACCACCATATTGTTTCTCTCTGGTCCCCCCCCCTCCCTCCAGTGGTCTTATGCGTTGGAGAAGCCCAACACGGGCAGTGTGATGAACGTGGCCTGGTCTGCAGACGGCACCCAGCTGGCCGGGGCTTGTGGCAATGGGCATGTCATCTTTGCCCATGTGGTGGAGCAGCACTGGGAGTGGAAGAACTTTGTGGTCACTCTTACAAAGAGGAGAGCTATGCAGGTAGAAAGACACAGAAACGCACATGCCCACACACACACTTAAAAATCAATTACTTTTATTAAGAACTTTTTAATAAATCTCACATAAAAATAAATGGCCGTTAGATCCATTTACAAAAAGGATAATAATGGAAGCCCAACTTGATTCCTAGTCTATCATACGGGTAAACATTTTAAAGGTTAAAGGTCTCCTACACCCATTAAACCCTTAAGTGCTGAATAATACAGCTCTCTAAAACCTAAGCATTGTTGCTTACAACCACCTAAAACCTGAGGGTTTTTTGAAGAGCAGAGAGAATTTTAAGTGTTTACGAAAAACTTAATTTTTCAGCCTCTAAAAAATCCATTAAAGCTGCCAAACTCACAGAGATCCCCCTCTTCTTCTTCCCCCTCCTCACCTGTTTCTCATACCAAGTGAGCCTTGGTCAGTGGGTCAGCAGAAACATTGTCTAGGTCTGAATCTTTCTCATTGTTATTTTCATCATTTTTTTATGTCAGTGAATTACTGCTGTAATCTGCGTCAGTATTGCTCCTCTCGCTTATATCAGCTGCAACTTTGAATACTTTTTTGCAGGCTAAGAGCACTGAAATACAAACTACATTTCACATAATACATTTCCCTTGAGTATTTAAGCGATTCGTGATGTATTTCTAAAAAAAGACATCTTATAAAACCTACACGCATCTTGTGCGGCCCCAGGAGAAGCACTCAAACATCTCACCCAGTCTTAAAGATATATACATGCATATGTTGCATCAGGGTTAAGGATTTTCAAACAAAGATTTCTGCAAATCACATACGGAAGAAATATATATTAACAGAACTATGCTTTGTTAAGTTTGGTAAACCACTGATTTGATTGATGATACTACTTAAGAAGAGTATTAGTGACTATGTGATGTAGAGAAGCAAACACTTCCCAGGCCTGGGCTCGTTGTGTAGTACGACCCTCTCAGTGTGTGCTGGTGTACAGCCCTGCAATGACAATGACTAGCCTGTGTAGCTGCCTCTCTCACTCCACCATTTACTGTTTAAACTCATGCTAACCACAAGGTAGTGTTTAAATGCGGTTAACACACCCTAATGTGCATACGCACACACATGCACACACGTATACTTTCAGACAGGGATACACACGCACAGCTACAGAAACAAGGTCGTGCACATACATGTGTGCTCATTTGTCATAGACATCTTCACCAAGTGCAGTTTTCCTAAACCAAACAAAGTTGGATCATCATCCGTTTATTTTCAGCCTCGCAGGCGCTTTTCTGTCTCCCTCCTCCCCCTCTCCTCCTCGCAGTCCGTTTTAAAAAGTGCACATCTGCCAGCGGTTTGTGAATCAGCCAGCTAAATTTACCACCTTGCGGTCCAATGTTTTTTATTCCTGGTTGTGTTGCATGTAAATTTGGCTCACTGGAGGGAATGGCGGAGGAAGATTTGTAAAGCTGTAAAAATAACCCCACCTTTCACCTGGTGCTGGAAAAGGGCCTTTCATTCAATTGCATAGAGAGGTGGAAGGAAGTATTTATCTATGCAGGTGAAAAAATGAGCAGCGACCACTGCTCGCACAAGCAGTAAAAGCGTCTCTCTGACCACAGTTGCCCTACGTGTTCTTGGACACACTGTAGACTGCTTCCTGTGTATATTAAGAATAAATACACTCTGTGAATGTGAATACACTGAGTGAGTGTGTTCAAGCCTCTGTTGGTAAAGTCAGTGTCTCCCCTTTGTTGCTTGTGTTTTTAAATGCAGTGTTTGCTCGGCAGTAAAAAGTTTAATCCAGTAACTCTGAGAACTTTATTCTTCTCTAATCTTTAATTAGCTCATCCCCTCATTCCCTTCTTTTTTCTCAGGTGAGGGACGTGACAAACGATGCAGTGGACATATTGGAATTCAGAGATCGAGTCATCAAAGCTTCGCTGGCATGTGGTCACCTGGCGGTCGCCACCTCCCTCCAATGCTATGTTTACAAGTGAGTAGCCTAATCCTCCTTTTCTCATCTTCTTCACTGTTCTTTCTCATCCTCTATTTGCATGATTTCAGTATTTCCTGATTTCAGAACTTATGTTGGGGTTTTAAGCAACAAATACTTAAATACTTATTGATCAAATCCTGATAATAATCTTTGGATCCAACTGAAATGTAGCAGTATAATACAATAGCTAATATATAAGATTCTTTGAAATACAGCTAGGTAATCCTCCTCCAAATGTCTACCTTACTGAGTTGCTGACACCTACTAGGCTAATGTAATCAGATTACCCTTTTGTGTGTTTTGGCATATTCCAGATGAACTCCTAAAAAATGTTCAAACAATTGGGTCGGAACTTTATCAACTTAAACATATTAAGAGTCAGACACAGAAATGTTTATTCATATCAGTGTTGCATGTTAGAAACCTCATCAACACGCCCACCTGCTAACAGTGAATCCTCAAGACAATCACCTGCTGTTTTCTCACATAAACTCCCTCTGACATTATCTGCAGTTTTTATCAGGGGACTTGAAGGAGAAGCTCTGGACAATGTCCACAGCATCTTACTGACATTTTCTCACATACAAACCTGCCGGATAACTTCAGGAGATTTTCCAAAATTCAGTGAAATGGCAAAAAGACTATACAAATTTAAATGGGACTCAGAGATCGCATAACTCTGCAAAATCTCCTTAAATCCAGTCTAGCCATATATCATTCCTATAGATATAGCAGATTTTTTTTCATCAAGATCTCCTAATTATTACTTTAAAGATTCAAAGAAATATCGAAAAACATGTAAAAGATATTGAAAAAAAAGATTTTCTGGATCTGAAAACAAATATCTCTGGTTTAAAAGCATTGCCATATACGTAAAAGAGACTTACAAACATGTCAAGAAAGTTTGTGGTGATAAGAGCTGACGTTGTTTTAAAAAAATATCACATGATTAGAATGAACATGTTTCTTCCTTCCTGCTTTCTTCGCCTGAATAATGCAAAAGATTTGTTGTTGTTGAATTGTGAATGAGTCTATGCAGAAAATGTCCCACTGCATTGTGGATGTGTGAAAGGTAAACTACGGATAAAGTTCAGAGAATTGGGTCCGGACGTTATTAGCAGGTTATGTCTAAAAACGGCTCAAGTTTCACGGAAAACTTTTAAGTTGTTTTTTCTTTTCCATCACATTTTTTTTAACTTCACTGAAATCTTTCTGTTCTTGGTTTTGTTTGTGTGGTCTTCCCGCATCTGCACTTTAGCCAGATGTCATACATCTGTGTTTTCACAAATTTTGCTGTGTTTGTGTGTTTTTTTCTTTGTGGCAGTTCAAGAAACTGGAACACTCCCCTCATCTTTGACCTGAAGGAGGGAACAGTGAGTCTCATCCTGCAAGCAGAGAAGTGAGTGTCTATTCCAGGAGCAGAGCAACAGGAGTTTGTTGGATCATCCATCAGCTTCACTAATGCTTCATTACTCTGCACTGACCACTCATCACTCAGCCAACACACACACACACACACACACACACACACACACACACATACACCCACAGGCACTATGCTCTCGCTTAGCCGGTGCTGTCATACAATAAGGCTGAGAGTGAAATCACTGGGGGAAATTAGATTAATATGGAGAAGCTCTTGTGCAATACTCCAGCCTAGCGTCTTCAACACTCAGCATAGAACTAAATGGATTATTGGTCCTTCTGTGATCACAATTGAGACTTTCTGTGTAAGTTAATACTCTCTTTATGTGCAATTCATGTTCAAATTACCTGCTTATGCCAGTTCATTAAATGTTAACATCTCTTCATTCGTTTACTTTTAACATTTTAACAGTACACTATCCCACTTGTCCGCTATCCTACTTCTCCACACATTAAAATATGAATCTACTTACCCTGCTCTCATCCTCTATATCTTCCTGTCTCCTCCACCAAGACACTTTCTGCTTGTGGATGGAGCAGGGTTGTATGTGTTCTCCTATGAAGGTCGACTAATATCTTCCCCAAAGTTCCCTGGTATGAGAGCTGACATCCTAAACGCCCAGGGTGTCTCTCTGAGTAACGACACTATTGCCATCCGGGACCAAAGTGATGAAAAAGGTGAGGGAACCACTTTCACAACTAAAAAGCTTCATGTACCCATTGTAACAACAGGGGGAGGTTCCCCAGAGCTGCAGTCATCAGTTATTTTTGGTATTATTTGTGTGGTATTTTAAATAAAATGAAAAATCCCTGTCTTTTGATTAGGATTGATGGTGCCTCTATTAATCTCTTGTTTCCTTTTCCCTCTCTAGTCATCTTTCTCTTTGATGCCTTGAGTGGGAAACCCCTCGACGATGGGAAGCCCTTGACCCACAAGGTGTGTAATCCTTTGTCTTTATAGAGAAGTGAAGTGGCCAGTTATACTATTTTTTTCATGATTTGCTATTCCAGAGCCAAAATACACAGAGCAAACTTGTATTTGGAGGTCTTTGTAATAAGCATAGTACCAATAATAGAACTATAGTAGTACCATATTTGCTTATGTGTTATCATGGTTGGAGGTTATTTTTGAAAACCCTCCAATCTGCACAGGCACAAGGAGATGATCATTTTTTAAAAGACGATAAAATTGATATTTCTTATCATCCATCTCTTCTTCTTCTGAATCATGTGGTGAGGATGCCAAGGTTTTTTTTGCCAATGATAATTCAAAAAGTTGAATCTAAATAGACCCAGCTGAGGGAAACACTTTTCAGAGCGACTGGCTGTGCTAAAAATATACGAACACATATCCAGATCGAGGAGAGACAATAAAAACGAAGTAAAGAGAATGGGGGAAGGGCTCTGAGGTCAAACTAAGAGGGAAAGAGACAAAAAGAAGGAAAGAAATAGAAGAGAAGGAAAAGAAGTGGAGGTAGCAGTAGTTACTGTTTGTCAGCATGGCTTTGTCTGCCAGGACTCCACCGCTCCAAGACACTGCATCGAGGCCAGCTGGCTCTGGCCAAATACACACATACACACACACTCACAGGTTCACACACACATATACCCCCTCAGTGTCTCTCTATCTCTTTCTCTCTCCTACACACAGACACACACACACACACACTTGGCAGAAAGGCTGTTGGGTCACGGTACAAACTGCTCTCCCCCTTTTCCTTTCTTTCTCCAATCTTTTGTCCTACTTCCATCTTTCACTCTGTTGCCTCTTACCTTTTTGTGCTTGTGTGTGTTTGTGTGTATTTGTACGTAGCTGGAGGTGGTGGAGATCGCTCTGGACCAGTGTGGCCCATCCACCGAGAGGAAGATCGCCTTCATAGACAAGAACCGTGACCTTTACTTGACTTCTGTGCGTCATCTTGGACGAGAGCCCAAAATCTGCAAAATTGGTGAGCCAGGGAGGAGGGAGAGCTCACAAAAAGTCACAAAAAGTGCAGCGACTCTCTTTGTTTCTATTCACCAGTATTACTGTAGAAAACACCGTCTGAACAAGACTGTTGTGTGTGTTTTCTGTCCCATAGGCAGCATGGTTCACAGTATGGCTTGGAATGACACTGCTAACATCCTGTGTGGAATCCAAGACAAGCAGTTAACAGTGTGGTACTACCCAAGTGTTGTCTTCACTGACAAGGAGCTGCTGCCAAAATCACTGTACACTAAAGACTGCAGGTAGATAATCAGAGTTTCTTGCGCTCCAAAAAACCCACTACCACCACTTACATATGACATTTGTCTGGAATGGGAATGGATACAATAAGCATTCACTCCTGGGTCAAATGACTCTACAGTTGATGCAGTTTTTATCAGCTCCAGGTCCGATAGGCAAGTGAACACACCAATTTCTTCTTCTTTGTTATTTTGGCAGTCTAGACGCTAACAATGCTCTTTTTTTCTGTGCAACGCAATGACGTGCATTGAGCTTCAGGGCATTGGTGCATTTAACGTTTGTGTCCTTGTACTTGGGAACAGCATTTTTGTCGTTTGTATTGTGCAAAATGCAACACTGGCAAGACAGCGAGGTGAGAGAGCTTCTCAGCATCCGGCACATTCGTCACATCAAGGATGACACGGGGGAAAGAAATCAATTGCCTTTTTTGTAGCATTCAAAAAACTTGTGTATACCTGCCATTTTTAAAACAGGTATAACTTGGAGATTACAGATACATTTTAGCATAAACAAGCATACTGTTCACCAGAGCGATGAGTAGGTTACTACAGAAAATTGGCCATAATTACAAGCATTCAACAGACAGTGCAAAATGTGCATGTCATGTGATTTTAAAACAGTCATGGAAGAGCAGCAGTAGGAAAAGAGAGTGATAGAGGCAGTTTTTTTTAGTACCTTCCAGCTCATTCCCAAAGGTACAACACACAGCGCTTTAGGCTCTCCTCCCTGCCAGCGGCTGTCAGACTGCACAATGCTTCCTTCCCAAAAGTCCTCCGCTTCAGCCAGTGCAGGAGGCGCTAAGGCAAAGTGCCTGCACATCAATACAGGCAGTGCTGGACTACTTTTGCACATCTCTGCTACACTGATCTGAACATTTGGCTGCATAGTTTTGTTTTTATGATCATATTGTACTTGGTGTATATTTTTTGCCTCTCTGAGGTTTACAGCTCACTGTTGTTAACTCTTACATTACAGACTTATTAAGTCAGAATACATTTCCTCTTTATTGGATCAAGTTTTGGTATTGTAGGTTGGTTGCGTTTACACAACCATAATTTCTGTTGCTGTTTTTTTGGCCATAATTTATTGGGGCTCTTGCAGTCAAATGTTTTCCTGGGAGTCAGTATCTGGTGCATTTAAGCAAACTTGCGTGGCAGAAGCAAATAAGTAAATGAATACAAATGCTCCATTTTTACCCATGTGTGTAGGTTTTGAGGATATCTTTGATGGAAGGCAGTTTGGACCATGTACAGTGCTCGTTACAAAAGCAGCACTGTCACTGTGTTATTTCATCAATTTAGCCAAGTAGTATATGTGGTGAGCTCCCACAAATTACTCTTTGTGTCAGACATTTTGGCACATGCACTTGCACACATGTAAACTGGCAATACCTGTAGGATAAATAAGTTGCTGAATGTATTCTTAATTAGCACAATCCATCAACTTCCAGATGTACTCAGTCATTTTTTTGAATGTAACAATCAATATTTGCAAGAGTCACACACGGTTCCTTGCTGCAAACAAACTATTGAGATGTAGTTATATGTTTCCTCACGTTTGTGTGTGTGTGTGTTTGTATTTGCCCTCTTCAAAGTGAGTTCAGCCGAGCCCCTCACATTCTTACCTACGTTGGCACCAAGGTGACATTACGGCAGGGAGACGGTTCACTGGTATACAGCATCGTACCTCCCTACCCAGCCCTGCTTCACGAATACAGCACCTCTTCACGCTGGGAGGATGCACTGCGCCTCTGCCGCTTTGCCAAGGTAAACATCTCTAGTAATGTTTTTTACGGCTGTCAGGATATGGGATTTCACCTAAAATATTATTGTGTCCAAAATAATTTGCAAAAACATATT